TGGACGGGTAGTCGATGTGGTGATGGCATCGGTATGTACGGTATTTGCGTTTGATGTCATCTCCACACCGATAATCATATTTACATTATTTGTATTATTATTCACAATATTATTGTTTCCAACGATAGACGCAATTGAAGTGTTTTTATTGGGATGTCTATCCCATGAATACATAGAAATATTATTGTGATATTCATGTGCACCGGCAGTATATGCTGGGGTTGTCGGTGTTTCCGACATAACTACTGGCGCTGTCGGTGTAGGCAGTGGTTGTGTGGGAGAAGTGCTTTTAGTTTTAATCGCATTCATTTGCACCAGTATTTTGGGCACATTTTTCTCACTACTTATACCGATGTCGGAGGGCTTGACATCCTGTTCCGCATCACTAGAGTAGTCCAATGTATTTGATAGCGACATACTATCTGTCACTACATCTCTATTATCTCGAAAATTATAGCTTTCATGGGTTTGCTGTCGGATAATGTTAGTGTCAATGACTATGTCTTTGATGAGGGGAATGGTATTGAGACTAACGGACACGTCTGGGTCTGTCGTATCACTACTACTCGCGTTTTGATCGTTCAATTGATTCACTTCAACGTAATATGACATGTGATTAGAGCCGTTGTATTCGTAGCTATGCTTAAGTGGCTTATTATCAAACATTGTGTTCACTATATTATTGTAGACACTGTTGTGTTTGCTTTCAAATGAGTAATTATGTTCAATATTTACATTGATTTCTCTCTCGATTTTGTCCAAATTCTCGGTTATCTTCTCATTCATGGCATTTGTGGACAAATCTAATGTGTAGTCATAGGCTTCCGATGAGTTGATTACATCGCTTTGGTTTTGTGCAAACCATACGATATTTTCCTTAACATTAACCCGAAAATATAAATGAATTTAATTTATTTAATATTCTGTGATATGGTATTTAATTCATAAACTAGAATATTCATAATGTTACATAAGATTATCATAATATTTTGGTGCAGATTGTATGGACTTATCAAAGTGCAATACTTTCTTAATTGAGTAGGTTTTAGGTAACACTTGAGTTTAATACCAATGAGATTAGTAATTGGTCATAAAACTCATAATCAGTGAAATAATTTTTAATAGTAATCTATTATCAACCACACTTCATTGTAAGAGGTGGATGATTTCATACAAATTTTATTTAATCAAAATACTGTATAATAGTTTATAATTCATATGAAATATTATCTTACCAGTTAAACATTACTAAGATTAGAATTCTTTATAATTATTAATTAGAGTTTAATTTTTAAAATATCTATATAAACTATTTAAAAAATACTTCATAGCATTTTAAATAGATTTTAATAGTTTTTATTTTTTCTATACAGTATTCTAACTATTAAAGATTTGTTAATCATGTAAGTAGTGTACACTATAGAGATCTGTGTCGAGATTTGATATGAAAACTATGTCTTGACTTTTGCCCACAATTTCTCAATATTGTGTCTATAATTTATTGATAAAAGAAACTCAATATGATATCATCACTTTCACTTATATAAATCACTGGGCTATCAAAAATTCAAATTGATAAAATGTATAAAACTCAATTTTTAAATAACCATCTCACTATTAAAATATTACTATACTGTACAAAGTATAATTAAAAACTAATTTCAAAAATTACATAAAAATGTTAAATTCTAATGAGATCAAATTTTATCACATTTTTATGTTTAAGTCTAAATTAAGTATTATATAATCTCACTTAAAATGGTTGATAGAGATTAACAAACAATTTGTGAATTAGTATGCTTTATCACAATTTATAATAATTTGTGCCTATTATAAATACCCTGTTTAAAACAAGTAACACCCAATTAATACTCACTTTAATCGCTTTGACGTTCATTATAACGGATGCAAACACTATAATAATTACATACAATAATAAAAAAGTTTTATTTGTAACACAAGACATCACTTTAATAATTATATACATATGTATTATATTTTATATGAAAACATAAGTTTTGATTTTCAGACTACTCATACA